CTCACTGAATGGATACAAAAATAAGACCCATATATATGCTATCTACAAGAGACCCACTTCAGACCTAGGGACACATACAGACTGAAAGTGAGGGAATGGAAAAAGATATTCCAAGCAAATGGAAATCAAAAGAAAGCTGGAGTAGCAATACTCATATCAGATAAAATAGACTTTAAAATAGAGAATGTTACAAGAGACAAGGAAGGGGCTTCCCTGGTGGTGCAGTGGTTGAGAGTCTGCCTGCCGATGCAGGGGACACAGGTTCGTGCCCCGGTCCGGGAAGATCCCACATGCTGCACAGCGGCTGGGTCCATGAGCCATGGCCGCTGAGCCTGTGCGTCCGGAGCCTGGCTCCACAATGGGAGAGGCCACAACAGTGACAGGCCCACATACCGCTAAAAAAAAAAAAAAAGAGACAAGGAAGGACACTACATGATGATCAAGGGACCAATCCAAGAAGAAGACATTACAATTATAAATATATATGCACCCAAAGAGGAGCACCTCAATACATAAGGCAAATGCTAACAGCTATAAAAGAGGAAATCGAGAGTAACACAATAAAAGTGTAGGACTTTAATAACACCTCACTTACACCAATGGACACATCATCCAGACAGAAAATTAATAAGGAAACACAAGCTTTAAATTACACAATAGACCAGATAGATTTAATTGATATTTATAGGACATTCCATCCAAAAACTACAAATTACACTTCCTTCTCAAGTGCACACAGAACATTCTCCAGGATAGATCACATCTTGGGTCACAAATCAAGCCTCAGTAAACTTAAGAAAATAGAAATCATATCAGGCATCTTTTCCGACCACAATGCTATGAGATTAGAAACCAATTACAGGGGAAAAAACATAAAAAATACAAACACATGGAGGCTAACTAATACACTACTTAATAACCAAGAGATCACTGAAGAAATCAAAGAGGAAATAAAAAAATACCTACAAACAAATGACAATAAAAACACAATGACTCAAAACCTATGGGATGCAGCAAAAGCAGTTCTAAGAGGGAAGTTTATAGCAATATAAACCTACCTCAAGAAGCAAGAAAAATCTCAAATAAACAATTTAACCTTACACCTAACGGAACTAGAGAAAGAAGAACAAACAAAACCCAAAGTTAGTAGAAGGAAAGAAATCATAAAGATCAGAGCAGAAATAAATGAAATAGAAACAAAGAAAACAATAGCAAAGATCAATAAAATTAAAATATGTTTCATTGAGAAGATAAACAAAATTGATAAACTTTTAGCCAGACTCATCAAGAAAAAGAGGGAGAGGACTCAATCAATAAAATTAGACATGAAAAAGGAGAAGTTACAACGGACACTGCAGAAGTACAAAGCAGCCTAAGAGACTACTACAAGCAACTCTATGCCAATAAAATGGACAACCTGGAAGAAATGGACAAATTTTTAGAAAGGTATAACCTTCCAAGAATGAACCAGGAAGAAATACAAAATATGAACAGACCAATCACAAGTAATAAAATTGAAACTGTGGGGCTTCCCTGGTGGCGCAGTGGTTGAGAGTCCACCTGCCGATGCAGGGGACACGGGTTCATGCCCTGGTCCGGGAAGATCCCACATGTCGCGGAGTGGCTAGGCCCGTGAGCCATGGCTGCTGAGCCTGCGTGTCCAGAGCCTGTGCCCCGCAACAGGAGAGGCCACGACGGTGAGAAGCCCACGTACCGCAAAAACAAAACAAAACAAAACAAAACAAAAAATTGAAACTGTGATTAAAAATCTTCCAACAAAGAAAAGTCCAGGACCAGATGGCTTCACAGGTGAATTCTATCAAACATTTAGAGAAGAGCTAACACTTATCCTTCTCAAACTCTTCCAAAAAATTGCAGAGAAAGGAACACTCCCAAACTCATTCTATGAGGCCACCATCACCCTGATACCAAAATCAGACAATGATACTACAAAAAAAGAAAATTACAGACCAATATCACTGATGAATATACATGCAAAAATCCTCAACAAAATACTAGCAAACAGAATCCAACAACACATTAAAAGACTCATACACCATGATCAAGTGGGATTTATCCCAGGGATGCAAGGATTCTTCACTATATGCAAAGCAATCAATGTGATACACTATATTAACAAATTGAAAGATAAACATCATATGATCATCTTAATAGATGCAGAAAAAGCTTTTGACAAAATTCAACACCCATTTATGATAAAAACTCTCCAGAAAGTGGGCATAGAGGGAACCTACCTCAACATAATAAACGCCATATAGGACAAACCCACAGCAAACATCATTTTCAATGGTGTAAAACTGAAAGCATTTCCTCTAAGATCAGGAAGAAGATAAGGATGTCCACTCTCGCCACGATTATTCAACATAGTTTTGGAAGTCCTAGCCACGGCAATCAGAGAAGAAAAAGAAATAAAAGGAATACAAATTGGAAAAGAAGAAGTAAAACTGTCACTGTTTGCAAATGACATGATACTATACATAGAGAATCCTAAAGATGCCACCAGAAAACTACTAGAGCTAATCAATGAATTTGGTAAAGTTGCAGGATACAAAATTGATGCACAGAAATCTCTTGCAGTCCTACACACTAACAACGAAAGATCAGAAAAAGAAATTAAGAGAACAATCGCATTCACCACTGCAACAAAAAGTATAAAATACCTAGGAATAAACGTACCTAAGAAGGTAAAAGAGCTATATTCAGAAAACTAAAAGACACTGATGAAAGAAGTCAAAGATGACACAAACAGATGGAGAGATATACCATGTTCTTGGATTGGAAGAATCAATATTGTGAAAATGACTATACTACCCAAAGTAATCTACAGATTCAATGCAGTCCTTATCAAATTACCAGTGATATTTTTTACAGAACTAGAACAAAAATCTTTAAATGTGTATAGAGACACAAACGACCCCAAATAGCCAAAGCAGTCTTGAGGGAAAAACCAGAGATGGAGGAATCAGACTCCCCAACTTCAGACTATACTACAAAGCTACAGTAATCAAGACAATATGGTACTGGCACAAAAACAGAAACATAGATCAATGGAACAGGATAGAAAGCCCAGAGGTAAACCCACGCACCTATGGTCAACTAATCCATGACAAAGGAGGCAAGGATATAAAATGGAGAAAAGACAGTCTCTTCAATAAGTGGTGCTGGGAGAACTGGACAGCTACATGTAAAAGAATGAAATAGAACACTCCTTAACACCATACACAAAAATAAATTCAATATGGATTAGAGACCTAAATGTAAGGCTGGACACTATAAAACTCTTAGAGGAAAACACAGGAAGAAAACTCTTTGACATAAATCACAGCAAGAGCTTTTTTGATCCACCTCCTAGAGTAATGGAAATAAAAATAAACAAATGGAACCTAATGAAACTTAAAAGCTTTTGCACAGCAAAAACGAAACTATAAAAAAGACAAAAAGACAACTCTCAGAATGGGAGGAAATATTTGCAAATGAATCAATGGAGAAAGGATTAATCTCCAAAATATATAAACAGCTCACGCAGCTCAATATTAAAAAAAAAAAAACCCAATCAAAAAATGGGCAGAAGATCGAAATAGACATTTCTCCAAAGAAGACATACAGATGGGCAAGAAGCACATGAAAAGCTGCTCAACTTCACTAATTATTAGAGAAATGCAAATCAAAACTACAATAAGGTATTACCTCACACTGGTTAGAATGGGCATCATCAGAAAATCTACAAACAAATGCTGGAGAGGGTGTGGAGAAAAGGGAACCCTCTTGCATTGCTGGTGGGAATGTAAATTGATACAGCCACTATGGAGAACAGTATGGAGGTTCCTTAAAAGACTAAAAACAGAATTACCATATGATCCAGCAATTCCAGTACTGGCCATATACCCAGAGAAAAGCAGAATTCAAAAAGACACATGCACCCCAATGTTCACTGCAGCACTATTTACAATAGCCAGGTCATGGAAGCAACCTAAATGCCCATAGACAGACGAATGGATAAAGAAGATGTAGTACACATATACAATGGAATATTACTCAGCCATTAAAAGGAATGCAATTGGGTCATTTGTAGAGACGTGGATGGATCTAGACACTGTCATACAGAGTGAAGTAAGTCAGAAAGAGAAAAACAAATATCGTGTATTAACACATATATGTGGAACCTAGAAAAATGGTACAGATGAACCGGTTTCAGGGCAGAAATAGAGACACAGATGTAGAGAACAAACGTATGTACACCAAGGGGGGAAGTGGCGGGGGAGGGTGGTGGTGTGATGAATTGAGAGATTGGGATTGACATATATACAGTAATATGTATAAAATGGATGACTAATAAGAACTGCTGTATAAAAAAACTTTTTTCAATTAAATAAAATTTTTTAAAAAACGAGTGCTTCGGGCTTCCCTGGTGGCGCAGTGGTTGGGAGTCCACCTGCCGATGCAGAGGGCACGGGCTCGTGCCCCGGTCCGGGAAGATCCCACATGCTGCGGAGCGGCTGGGCCTGTGAGCCATGGCCGATGAGCCTGCGCGTCCGGAGCCTGTGCTTTGCAGCAGGAGAGGCCACAACAGTGAGAGGCCCGCATACCGCAAAAAAAAAACCAAAAAAAAACGAGTGCTTCTCTAATATCCACCCATTTTTTTTGTTCTAAAAACATGTAAGGAAATCCATTCTGAAGTTTTTGCTTTTGGTTAAAAATTTAAGTTTATGACTATGCTATTATTATAGAGTTAATAAACCTATCTCATTATCTCATTAATTAAAGCTCAAACCACTAGATTATAAGAAAATAATAATAATATAATATATTATACATTAATGATATATTATTATTAATATTATTAATATATTATTATATATGGATAATATTATATAATATTATATAATAATAATAATCTAGCTCAAACCACTAGATTATAAGAAAATAATCTGTAATGCTCAAAGGTTTACACAGACATCAACAAAAATAAAACCACTTACCATAAGTGATCAATAGAAGGACAAAAGGAATATTTTTAAATAGGTTCCTTATTGACTTCCCATAGGAATACTCTCCAGGGGGACTGTCTTGGAGAACTGCTTGAGCCTGGCTTGGTGGATACTGAGGTTTTTCTTTGAATGCTGGAAACATACATGAAAAGATAATTCAATATACAAGTCTTCTTTAGTGAGCAGACTAAATTCAGTTTAAGTTTAAAGAGGTAGTAAAAGTCTTTTATAGTAAGTCTTTTCATTTTCACTAATTTCTAAGTGAAGACTAGTTTGATATTATCATCTCAACCCTCTGAGATGGACTAAAACTCAGAGATTTGGCCAATTCACAGAACTGAACTGTAAAACCATCAATACTATGTCACAACTTTGCCCAGTGATTATTCTGTTTTTAGTTAAGCAAGATTAATTTTTATTATATTAAGTATTCAACAATTCTATTTCTAAATTTGGTTCAATCTGTAATTAGAGGTAATATCAGATATGAGCAAGCCAGTAAATTGAACTTTTAGAGGACTGTCTTGAGTTAGTACCTATTTTCTTCTGAAATTTGATAGAAAGTTTATCATCTGATGCAATTACCCCTCTAGAACTGAAAAGGTCCATGTGGATTCATGGGAGCAGAGCTAGGTCCTGCTTGCTGACTCACTTCAGCTGCATATGGAAAATCTAGGGGTAGAGCTGGGAGACATAAAAGTGTGATACATAGTTTCTGATACTGTAAGTTCTAGCACTGCCCATTACTATGTAGTTAGAGAAAGATCGCACAGCCTTCTCAGCCAGATATTTAGAGACTGCCCTTTTGCTGGGCAGGGAAGGATCTACTAATTTCCTACAACAGATGGCTAGGCAGAGATTTCTGTAGGGTATGGCTAGCCAGGAGTCAAGACTTTCTGATAGAAGAACTGACCTGCTAAGAGTGGTACATCAGAAACTAAAATCTAGTTTTAGTACTGACTCAAAATTTTAAACTCAAATACATACAGGAAAAATGCTGTATTTCACTGAATCTAAAATGGTCTGAGGCTGGCACTTAATGATCTTGGCAGGCATCAACAGAAGGTTTTCACATAACCATACCTCAATTGACACCAGTGTTACATGCCATTGGTATTTTTTTATTGTGATAAGAACATTTAACTTGAAATCTACCCTCTTAACAAACTTTTAAGTGTACAATAAGTATTGTTAACTATAGGCATAATGTTATACAGCATATCTCTAGAACTTATTCATCTTAGACGCCATTGATTGATTACTAAAGGCACCTCAATTTCAGAGACGCCATGAAAAAAATGTACACTTTAGAATCAATAAAGTAGGGTAAATTCAAAAGCCAAAAAGAAGGTAAATGGATTCAGAAGAAAGTAATATTTTCTAAAATATTAGAATTTCCTCCTTCTCTTTCTCTCTCTCTCTTTTTAAATAGTGGCTATTTCTTTCTTCCAACAAAGAAGCCTGCTTTGTAGTTTGAAAGTGGTCTAGATCTGATGGACCTGACTGTCAACTGTAATCATGTAGAAATTTTTTAAAATTACAGATTTGGGGATTCTAGAGAAGGCTCAGTGAATCAGAACCTCCAGAACAGAACCTTAGAACTGTATTACACAAAACTCAACGCTCAGCCAGGTTTGAAAATCACTGCAAAAGAAAGAAATGATTCTTAAAACTTGCACACAATATTGTAATTCTCTTAATTCTCCTGTTTGCTGCTAAAAATAAAAAATTACAGCTCTTTGCTCACCAAAACATGGATTAATTATGATATAAATAAAACAACAACTAGACTTCTATTTTTATAGGTCTTACAACTAATTGAAGCGGAGACATAACTCATATTTACTTTTTAATATCCTTATATTGGAGGACTGGTAGACATAAAACGTTTTAAGTGGTTGCAATCCCTCCCCTTCCTTTCACCCTATCTGCTCCTTGCACTGTTGAGGACGCCTGTTGTCCTCTCCTGAAAGTCTCTTTGCATCCTAGTTAAGATAGGAGATATCTCTCTTTATTAATATTGGTAAAACAGAACTCACATGTTGTAAAACAAAGTTTCAGAATGTAAAAACTATGCTTACAACGTAGTCATGGGTATTGAATGAGTCCTAAGTCTCTTACTTAGATTTTTATTTACTACAATAAAATAAGTCTAAATGGCTCAGATCTGAACTCAAATGCAAAATAAAAACAAGTTCTGGTAGTCTTTAATTCCATTAGACTTGTTTTCTGAATACAAGTGTTATGTCTTAGTTTCAGGAAGTTAACTGCTTTCTTGGACAAAATCAAGATTTTATCTACCAGCTACACAATATAGTAAAGTCAGGCTTAAGTCTATAAAGAAAAAAAAAAAAAAGAGGAACAAAAAATCCATTGGTCTATGACCCTGTTTACGCCTCATTGCTCCTTTCAAAGGATGAAATATGGCTTTTTCTTTCTCCTTTGAAACCGAAAAATAGACTTCTAACTTCTCTTCTCCCCACCAAAAAGTTGTGCAAATAAAATAATTAACTAATAAAATAATTAATTAGTAAAAGTTATTCTCCACCCTTAGCAATAGGAATGGAAAGTAGCCAAAGGATTTTGGGCACCACATTCAAACTTTTTCTCCCATGATGAATAAATAACAAGTCTATTGTGTTTAGGACCACTTCTATTTTTTGAAATCAGGTTATAATATTATCTTTTGATTTCATTATTTGTGCTTTTGTGATTCAAGCGGACATTACACATATTAATTTATTATAAGACAAACACAGGTTTGAATCCTGGCTCTGCCTCATCTCACTATATGACTCAAAGAAATCAATTCCTGCTTCTCAGCTATTGCTTTCTCATTCATAAAATGGAGATAATAACAACAAGCTGGTATGAGGACTATATGATATGTGTAAAAGAATTTTGTAATTATTGAGTACTATACAAAATACATTGTCTTTTTGAGGAATATTTATTTTTAAAAATCAGAGACTTTTCAGGGAATTCCCTGGCAGTCCAGTGGTTAGGACTTGGCTTCCACCGCAGGGGGTACAGGTTGGATCCCTGGTCAGGGAACTAAGATTCCACATGCTGTGCAGTGCAGCCAAACATAAATAAATAAATAAATATTTAAAAATAAAATAAAATCAGAGACTTTTCTCAGGGCTTGAAATTCTTATACACTAAGTAAAACGTACTTCTATTAACAATTTATAATAGGAGCCAATATATAAATATCCTGAATATAAGAATCAAAAATAAAATTATACATGTATGTTTTATACTCATGTATTTAAATACCTTAATATTAAATATTTTGACTGCCATTACTTTTGGTTTCTGTCATCCACTCATTTTAGTGAATCAGGATGATAAGGATTTTAACTGACATACTTAAGTGATATAGTTTACTGCTCTGCATAAAAAGAACAGCTTTCAAATACAACGGCATTACCACTTATACAAGAGGAATTGAAACAAATAATCAGACTAAGTAAAAATTAAAATGATATATTTGTATATGTAACATTTTATTAATGGAGTTAGATTGCCCAGGCTCAAATTTCATCTTTAGCATTTATATACTAACTGTGACCATGGGTAAGTTAAATTTACTTAAATTCTGTGCCCAGTTTCCTCATTTATAAAATGGGAATGATAATAATAGTACCGCCCTTATAGGGCTTTGAGGATTAAATGAAATATAGCATGCAGTTGTGCTTTTAAACATGTTTGGTACATATCAATCAAATGTTAGAGACTGTAATAGTATTCTCCCAATAAGAATGGGGTATTAGCGTGAAATTCAGTGGAAGGTTGGGCTTAATTCCTAGAAATGTTAGATGGATTACACTTAGGGAGGGTAATAGGATTACATGACATGAACCCTCCTCAAGTTAGTATTTTAGGAAGACTTCTGAATACCAGTTTGGTATATGTCACATTGCTGAAAAGCATCAGCACAAAACTAAATTATTTTATAAGATTTGATTGGGCTTCCAAAATATGTATGGGTAGAATTTAGAAGGAAGTAGCATTGTCTCTTAGTAATTAAGGAACTATAAGAAAGTTAGGATTTTTAAAATAATCCATATTTTCCTTAATAGCAAATATTTAGGTATAAGGAAAACAGGTAAATTTTTAATTTAAACGTCACAATTTTCAACCTAGACTTTCATATCACAACTGTATATTATCTTGCTTTTATACTATGCTTAGTATCATAAGATTAAGTTTATAGGTCACCAAGCAAAACTTGACAATGAGCTTTTTTTTTTCCTATTCTATTTCCATTCCATTCACCCCCCATTTCCATTTCCACTGTCTACTCATAAGCCATGAGTACGTAAATAATTATGTACATGAATAGCTCTCTTTTAATTTCTTAAATAATACAGGGTGATACGCCAATGGTCATACCTATGTTTTTTGTCCCACTCCTTTGACAAATAAAAATCTTATATTTGTAGCATCTCATATATATATATATGTTTAAATACATGTGTCTTATATATAATTTTTTTTTCTTATATATAATTTTGTATCTATAGATATCTTATATACAGTCTATTACTCTCACTTCTTCCAAAGAGACAAGCAATTGAAGACGATAAAAAAAGGAAAACCAGAATTTATGCAAAGATACATAGCAATCAAAGGAAAGAGAATTATATATATATATATATTTCTTTTTTTTTTTTTTTTTTTTTTTTGCGGTACGCGGGCCTCTCACTGTTGTGGCCTCTCCCGCTGCGGAGCACAGGCTCCGGACACGCAGGCTCAGCAGCCATGGCTCACGGGCCCAGCTGCTCCACGGCATGTGGGATCTTTCCGGACCAGGGCACGAACCCGTGTCCCCTGCATCGGCAGGCAGACTCTCAACCACTGCGCCACCAGGGAAGCCCGAGAATTTTATATTTTAATAATCCCTATTGCTAATGGAAGATCCATTTATGCAAAATGTATATAAACTATATCTCATACTTCATCTAGCACATCAAATATGGCTACCAGAAAAGTAGATATAGGAATTTGTTTTTTAAAAATATAGATTTCTTTTAAAACCTTGTTAAACTGACAAAATAGTACAAGGGATAATTTATCCTTTTTCAGTAGTCAGCACACAGCAAATATGCCACTCCCTAACAGAAACATAAAAACCAATCATAGGTAGATTGGACATGTCAGAATATTTTAAATGCTACCATGAGAATATTTTGTTCATTATCTTAAGGAAAATTAAAAATATGTGGGCTGAGTTTCCTATCCCTGGGTCCAGCAGTTCATCTCTAAAGGCATCTGTGGTGGTGCAGTGGTTAAGAATCCACCTGCCAATGCAGGCGACACCAGTTCGAGCCCTGGTCCGGGAAGATCCCACATGCCACCGAGCAACTAAGCCCGTGCGCCACAACTACTGAGCCTGTGCTCTAGAGTCCACGAGCCACAACTAGTGAGCCCACGTGCCACAACTACTGAAGCCTGCACGCCTAGAGCCTGTGCTCCACAACAAGAGAAGCCACCACAATGAGAAGCCTGCGTACCGCAACGAAGAGTAGCCCCCGCTCGCCACAACTAGAGAAAGCCCGCGTGCAGCAACGAAGACACAAATCAGCCAAAAATAAAATAAAATAATTAAATAAGTAAAATTTAAAAAAATAAAGGCATCTCTATCAAAACACTCCATAGTCTTTAACATACATTTTCTTTGAAAACTGAGGATTTTATATCTGGTGATCATAAAAAAAAAAATTGCATTTTTCATTACTGTTATAACCATTATAAAAATTAACATATAAAATTTAAAACTCCAGCTATAATGAAATTTAATTATAAATTTTAATGATTGAAAGATGGCCTTTCAACTTTAAAGTTCCTTTCTTCTTCAAATCAATTTAAGATATACTGAGTGCCCACAAGGCAATATTATAGTTATGTTAGCAGCTCTATTACTTAAATAAGCCTCACCTATTCTTTTCCCTGAAATCAAAATTGTTTCCCATTAAAAATAAACTTTAAAAAGCAGACCTTCCCAAACCTTCTTCCAAACTGATGATGGCTGCTTGCAGCTGATTTTGACTGACTGCTTCAAGAGACAGGCCCGGACGAGAGGACTCGGGGACGAGTGGTGGCAGCAGTGCTTTGCTGGAGTGGCCTAACAAGCAGATAGTTGCCACAGTTTGAAATTCTGCTGAACAGCTTGTTGCTGCCCAGGATCATTCACTGGTCAACATTTTCAGATCCAGTTAACTGTTAAATTGGGGATCCCTAGAAGGATTTATCATTTAAAGGAAGGTTGTAGCCTATTCGCATCATTTCAAAGCACGACAAGAACTTGTTCCTGGCGAGGTTAGTGTAAGATGCAGACACATAGACGGATAGGCAAAGAGGAGGCAGGTAATATGTTTGAAACCAACAGTTATCAGGAAAGAAAAGTTAGTAGGGAGACAAATGAGATGAATTAGTCTTCAAACCCTTTACAATATTAAAACGGATGTAGCGGACCATAACATATCCTTAGGCGGTAGCATTCATTACCTAAACAAGAAAGTAAACAGCAAGAATGAAACAAGCAAATAGCACTTGAGATATTACCAGTACAAATTTTCAGGGTTGGTTATTTTTATTTTCATATGTTTGTCATGCACTTATCTATATAAGCTTTAGGGAAAATAATTCACTTACCAATTACCGTTAAAATAAATAAAAGTGTGGAAACAGCTGAAGTTCCATAAAACATGGTACTGATATTACAAGCCAGCAGTTGTGTGTTATTCTGTGTGTTCGGCACCAAAACTGGTGGCAGCAAAAAGCCAACTGCAGTTCCAAGCTGTAAAATAAACAGTCCTGTTAATTCTTTCTTCTTATTATAAGAGAAAAAAAAGTAATCAACATAAAGACAACCACTATTGCAAGGTCCTTTCGTAAGCTCTAAAGCACCATGTTCTAATGTCTTTTTACCATACCATTAAAGGAAAATTGTTGTCAAATGTCTTCCCTAGTTAATAAACATTTACTAAGCTCCAACCATCCAAATGATGCTGCTATAAAGTTGTGTAAGACACACTCCTTACCCTTTGGCTACTTACAATAAAAAAGGAGAATAAGGGCTTCCCTGGTGGCGCAGTGGTTGAGAGTCCGCCTGCCGATGCAGAGGACACAGGTTCGTGCCCCGGTCCGGGAGGATCCCACATGCCGCGGAGCGGCTGGGCCCGTGAGCCATGGCTGCTGAGCCTGCGCATCCGGAGCCTGTGCTCCGCAGCGGGAGAGGCCACAGCGGTGAGAGGCCCGTGTACCGCCAAAAAAAAAAAAAAAAAAGGAGAACAAAAATACACACATATACACAAAAAAATGCTGAGAAAAGACAACATACAAAATGGGAGAAAATATTTGCAAATCATATATTTGATAAAGATCTACCATCCAGAATATATAGAGAACTCTTACAACTCTACAACAAAAAGACAAATATCCCAATTCAAAAATGGGCAAAAGACCTGAATAGACATTGCTCCAAAGAATATGTATAAATGTTCAACAAGTACATGAAAAAATGCTCAATATCATTAGTTATTGGGGAAATGCAAATCAAAACCATACCCGCTAGAATGGCTATAATTTTTATAAAAAAACAGAAAGTAACAAATGTTGTCATGATGTGGAGAAATTGGAACCCTTGTACACTGCTAATAAGACTGTAAAACAGTGCAGTCACCATGGAAAACAATTTGGCAGTTCCTTAAAAAGTTAAACATAGAATTACTGTATGACCTAGCAATTCCTCTCTTGGGTATATACCCCCAAACTGAAAACAGGTATTGAATATTGTGCATGAATATCCGTAGCAGCCTGATTTGCAATAGCCAAAAGGTGGAAAACAGCAAATTGTCTATCAATGAATGAATGGATAAACAAAACGTGGTATATCCATTCAATGAAATATTATTTAGAAAGAATGAAATACTGATAGATGCTGTAACATGGATGACCTTTGAAAACTTGCTAAATGAAAGAAGCCAGACACAAAAGGTCACATACTGTATGATTCTATTTATATGAAATATCTAGACTAGGGAAATCCATAGCGAAAAAACAGATTAGTGGTTGCCAGGGGCTAGAGAGCGGGCAATGAGGAGTGACTGCTTAGTGGGAACTGGGTCTTCTCTGAGGGTAGATGAAAATGTTTGGGAACCAGATATAGGTGATGGCTGCACAACATCGTGAAGGTACTAAATGCCACTGAGCTGTACACTTTAAAATGATTAATTTTTTATGTGAATTTTACCTCAGGAAAAAAAAAATTAGGCCGACTATGATCATCACAACAAGAGAAATAAAATCAAAGTATTAAAGGAGGATCAGTGGAGGGAGATTTCAGATTCTTTGGGGGACGGAGGTGAGACAGAAGGGCCCAAGATAGGTTTCAAAGAGGACGCTGAGGCAGAGAAGTAACATTTACCAAATATTGCATTTGCTCCCTATAAAAAGCTGGATAGAGACAGTTAAACGGGTAATTACAAGTGTAGTAAGAGCAGTACTGTGATGAGAGGTAGAGTGCCATGACTGGGAAGATCATGTAATTGATCATTCAAGCAAGAACACTAGTCAGAGTGAAAGGGACCCCATGAGCAGTTGTACTGGACAACAGATGTACACCTGGACTATTCTAGGCCAGTTGGAGCATATGGTCACCTTAGCTAAGAGAGTACTTTAGAGGAGCACCTTGTATAGACGTGGGGTTCAGGAAAAATTTCTGAAGGCACAAAGATCTGAATAAGAAATTAGAGTTAGCCAAGTGAAATAGAAATGTTCCCAGTCAAGTAAGTCAGAAAGAGAAAAATACCGTATATTAACACATATATGTGGAACCTAGAAAAATGGTACAGATGAACCGGTTTGCAGGGCAGAAATTGAGACACAGATGTAGAGAACAAACGTATGGACACCAAGGGGGGAAAGCGGGGGTGGGGGTGGTGGGATGAATTGGGCGATTGGGATTGACATGTATACACTGATGTGTATAAAATTGATGACTAATAAGAACCTGCTGTATAAAAAATAAATAAAATAAAATTCAAAAAATATATATATGTTCCCAGTCAAGGGGACATCATGTACAAAGGAAGGAGAGAGCACGGCCTTGTGAGAAACTGTAAGTAGTGCACAAGTCCCCTCAGAGCAGAGCAAGTCTGTATATGAGGAATGGAGGCTGTGCAGAGAGGTGATGCTGAGGAATTGGCAGGAGGCAGAACTGTAAGGTCTCACTTGACACTTAAGAGAGTTTGAATTTTTTCCTAAGGGCAATGGAAGACACTGCAGAGGGCAAGGGAGTGTCCAGGACAGATGTGCACATTAGAAAGACCACAATGGACGAATGTGGAGAATACAGGGAAGAGAGCAAGAACTGCAGATAGGAAAATCAGTTAGCAAGCTCTAGGTGAGAGCTACGGGTAGCCAAGGCTAAGATGGTGGCAGTGGAAATGAAGAGTAATGAGCTGGGAGACAAGGTAAATTTTGATTGGTGGGGTCATATGGGATAGTCAAGTGGAAATATCCAGCTGACCAGTATCTACATAAGTCTGAAGCTCGTTAATTTATTGAATAAATTTTTATGGAGAATCTACAACGTGCCAGGCACTCTAATGAATGCTGTACATTCAGACGATGTGCCTATTTCATGAAACTTACAACCTAATGGTGGGGATCGGAGAAGAGTAATAATTAACAATTAATATATAAACATAAATATATCAGACAGTGATAAGCACTACATAGAGGATTAAAGTGCAATGATGTAATAAGACAGTGACTGGGCAACTCTAAATGGGATCCTCAAGAAATGCCACTGAATGATATTTAAAATGAATTTAAACTGAGAGCTGAATGATAATAAGGATATAACAGTGTGATCTTAGGAGGAAGAACATTCCAGACAGAGAGAATGTTTTTGCCAAGGCCCTTATGAAAAATGCAAGCTTAGTGTTGTTTAAGGAAACAAAAACATATTAGTAAGGTTTTGTAATCCACAGTAAGGAATTTAGATTTTATTTTAATTACTATGGGAAATCACTGGAGAGTTCAAAGCCGAGCTATGACATGATCTGATCTATGTTTTAAAAGGTTCTCTCAGGAATTCCCTGGCAGTCCAGTGGTTAGGACTTGGTGCTTTCACTGCTGGGGCCTGGGTTCAATCCCTGGCTGGGGAACTAACATCCTGCAAGTCGTGCGGCATGGCTAAAAAATTAAAAAAAAATTTTTTTTTAGAAGGTTCTCTCAGGTTAGAGACTTGGCACAGTAGATGGGTAGTTAAAAGATAGGATTCAGGAATCAGACAGACCTAAGTGTGAATTCTGCTGCTAATTAGCTGTGTGACTTTTGGAAAATAATTTTATCCCTTCAAGTCTCAGCTTCTGTATATATAAAATGAGGAGACTAATAGTTCCTACCTTACATAATGAAATTAAATGAAACAATGTGTGTAAAGTACTTAGCATGGTGCCAGGTTTAGTGAATGCTCAATAATGTTGAATATTACTATGAATGACCACTCCATAATCTAGGCTAAAGATGCATACTTGGGGGTCGTGAGCAAGTGCAGAGCTACTAGAGTCAAGGAAGGATTCGAACACTTAGGGAGAATGTGGGAGGAAGGCCCAGAGGTGTGCCAAGTGTTAGAGGGAAATCTGCCTATGAGAAAACATTTCCATTTATTATCCATGAAATAGATAATCCATAGATATGGAGTTGATAATATTTCCATCATGCTCAATGAAGTATTAATCTTGCATACAATTTCGTAAATGAAAAAATAGTTGAAGGTACCAGTTCCTATCCAAACATGCGGAAGCAACCAACTAAAATATCAGTCACAAATTATTTTGGATATACAACTATATTTCAAGCTATCCCTTCTTCTGTACTTTTAAAGGAAATAAATATAAAGCAATAAGCCCACATGTAGAGTTAGTCTTTACATGGAATTTAAATAGATCTTACTGTGATCTTGAAACAAGTGTTAGACCAGAAGTAAAAGAGTAACCTTCTTTTGTTACATAGCTACACAATATATGTATAAAGAGAGGTAACATTTTTGTTATACAGGTCTTTTTTTTTTAAGCAATTTCTTTTAAAAAGTCTTTATTGAATTTGTTACAATATTGCTTCTGTTTTAAGTTTTGCTTTTTTTGGCCCCAAGGCATGTGGGATCTTAGCTCCCTGACCAGGGATCGAACCTGCACCCCCTGCATTGGAAGGGGAAGTCTTAACCATGGGACCAGCAGGAAAGTCCCTTGTTATACAGGTTTTTAACTTGATTCTCCTCGAGCTGAATGAACACTCGATATAATTTACATAAAGTATCATAGGACTCCATATGCAAAATTTAAATTACAGTAAAAGGACCATTCTGCAATTAAAACACACACACACACACAAATTCTACCTAATAATGCTACTGGAACGCTAATGAATTTGAACCTATGGTGTTGGCAAGTCTAGGAAACAGTTTAATGGAGACTTGGCAAAATAAGCCACGCTTTTGCAATGGATTCTATGATCTATGATTTGTCTTGCATTTTCTTACCGTTAAAATTTGGTAATAGGACTCAGTAATGCTGTGAAGTCTTTATCACTAGATTTATTTAGCGATCATTTACAAATGTCTGTTATGTACCAGGCACTCTGCTGACTGTTAATATATAAAATTAAACAGAAGCTGTTTACATGGACCACTCAAAATAAGAACAAACTTCCCAGAACACAGCACCTTCCTTTTGCAAAGAATACACTGATGACAAAAATAATACCTACTTTAGCCTCATTCATTATTGCACTGACAAGTTTTCTATGATGTTAGGCCTAGATATGGGCCTGTACAGTTAATTACTTTACAGGTAATTCTCAAAGATGACCAGGTAGTCATTTTAAACTGGTTTTGAAAGGTCTGTCTGCACAAATAAATCAAAACCCCTCTTTAATCCAAGACTGCTTCCTATTTTATGACTGCTCACCTCCTCTCCTTCATTTATAGAATGCCTCCTAAGGGTCCATCCATATACCTAGCTCACATGGCCTATGACGTTTTATCTGGTCCTTCGGGATCCGATTTTCATCTATTACCCTAGTCCTTACCTGATTACCTAGCACGGCGGTGGCGCAAGCTGTGGACACCTCCTTGGGCCCAAACCACACTGAAGCGATGTGGGAGGGCAAGCCGAGGATGAACACCTGGGCCACAGAGCACAGGCACTGGCCCAACATGGTGACCCAGAAGAGATGCTGCTGCACGCTGCCGCACTTGATCCAGGCCCCCAGGCAGTTGAGGCCGGAACCGAGCAGGGCGGTGAGCCGCAGGCCTCTGGTATCCAGCAGCCAGGTGGCCGGGAAGATGAGGGGCACGTAGGCCAGCATGTATACCATGGACAGCCAGTCAATGTGCAGCGAGGAGACGTTGTAGAAGCCCTCGAAAACGTTGCTGATGATGCTGTATTGGATCCACTGAAACGCGTTCACCATCGAGTATAGGCTGAAGATCAGTAGCACCAAAAAGCGCCGCGCGGAGAGCGCAGTCCGGGGCACCAGGGTGCCCTCGACCGCCGGCGTCTGCTCGCCGGGGTCCTTGGGCAACAACCGGGCCTGGGTCTCCTCCTCCGGGGCCAGCGGAGTCTTCGGCCTGTCCAGAGCTCCCGAGGCGGCCTTGGGGCTGTCCCGAGAGACCCCATTCAGGGCCAGGCAGCCGGCTTTGGGCCCGTTCTGCGTCTCCGCGCTCACCTTTCCAGCGGGCGCGTCCCCCGGTACCGGGAGGTATCCGTTCGCGGGCGGGTGCCCGTTCGCCACCGTTGTCCCCTCCTCATCGTCGGGCAGTGCCATGCCCCTGGGCTCCCCGGAGCCGCCTGGCGCCCCCGCCCTCCTCCCAGCCCTGCACCCCCAGCCCAAGACCCGAGGCCCTCCCTGCACCCCAAGCCCTACCCCTCGGCCCACTGCTCCTGCGACCCTCTCCCCGGCCGAGTGAGCCTCGGTCTGAGCCGGGAGCTGCAACCCGCGCTGCCTGAGTCCGCAGGCGAAGTCCTCGTTCCCGTGCGCTGCCCGGCGGGCGGTCACTCAGGGCCAGGCCGGGCCGGGAGAAAGCAGCGTCACTGCGCGGTGAAGGCCCGCTGGCCAATCAGCGGCACCCTCGCCCGCCGGAGCCAATCGGGGAGCTTCCGGAGGGGCGGGGCGGGAGTGAGTGTGCGGGGCGGTAGAGGAGGAAGGCCAAGCTGGAGGTTTACGCTAGGTGTTCTCCTTCTGGATGGATGCTGTGGCCAGAAGTCCTCCGACCTGGGCGTGGGCGGGCGGGAGGCGAGCTTTGGATTGGGCAACTCGGGACTGGGAACGAGGGGCTAGGAGAAACGGGGGAGACAAAGAGGCAGACATGAGTCTCTCCACCTAGGGGGGCTCCTCTAGGGACAGGTCTAACACTGGCAGAGGACAAACTTGGCCTCTCGGCCCAATGCAGCTGTCAACATCGGACGCTGCCTTTAGAGCAGACAGGAGCACGTTTCATAAATTCGTGCTGTCTCGGCAGAGGGAGAGCACCGGAAAGCATTTTGATCCAAATAAAGAGATTTCTTCAGAAATCTGCCCTTGTGAAGTTGGAATCTCTGGGACGTGCTGTGCCTGAGCAGGCCCTGTTGCTCAACATTCTCCCTTGCACCAACACTTGCAGTTAGTATTTACTGGACACACATTCAGTGGCTTCCAAGCACCACACTTGCTTTGAAAGGTATGTGCCCCACACTGTCATGGACTCTGGGGAATAAAAAATAAAAATGAGACATATTGCCTACTCTCAAGAGCACACGTAGCCTTGTAAGTGTTCCTGGACTACAGGAAAAGTCAGTCCTGCTACTTCTTGGGAAACTAAATTTGAAGGAAAAAAAAAAAAGACTCCAAGTATTCATTATTAAAGTGGAATTGAAACTAGGGGTATCTCACAATGGATTTAATCTTAAACGGTAGGGCTTCCCTGGTGGCGCAGTGGTTAAGAATCCGCCTGCCAATTCAGGGAACAGAGGTTCGAGCCCTGGTCCAGGAAAATCCCACATGCCGCAGAGCAAGTAAGCCCGTGAGCCACAAATACTGAGCCTGCGCTCTGGAGGCGGGGCCCCGCAGCTACTGAAGCCCATGTGCCTAGAGCCGGTACGCCACAGGAAGAGAAGCCACTGTAATGAGATGCCCGTGCACCTCGACGAAGAGTAGCGCCCGCTCTCCACAACTAGAGAAAGGCTGCTCGCAGCAATGAAGACCCAATGCAGCCAAAAATAAATAAATAAGTTTATTTTTTTTAAAAAGTGTTGCTACCTAGAACTCTAAAACCCAGTACACTTTCTTTTTATTGCCTCTTAACATCATTATTTTGGTAGCATATAAAAATATATCAGATACGTCTCAGTGCAGGTGAAATACTACATAATCCTAAACCTGAAGAAATATGTGCATTTTATATCTTCCTTGGTCATCCTATATAAATTGCACATTCCACTCCTAATCCCCTTCATTTTTCTTCTTAATGCTTAGCACTCTAAAATGTCATTTTGTTGGTGGTGGTGGTGGTTATTTCCTCCTTCCCCACTAAAACATCAGTTCTGTGAGGGCAGGGCTGAAAGTTGTTTTGCTTTGCTGCTGTTGCTGTATACTGAGAACCTGAAACAGTACTTAGCAGTAGGTGTTCAATAAATATTTACTGAATGACTGCAACTAACAAGCATTGGATATTTTAAATAATTACTTATTTTTAAAGTGAATCCATTTCTTTTTTTAAAAAATTGTAAAGTTCCTCTGCAAATATGATTTTCTAAACACTGATTTAGATATTATTTTAGATGACTGAGTGATGTCCTCTGAATGAACAAATAAATGTGGAATCCAAAGGACTTCATTCTTAGTTAAGATGTCTATTATATGGATTTCTGAAAAATGAACTAATTGCATTGCTTAATATTCAGTACAACTCACTATTCATTATTCTGAGGCTTTTTTTTTTAATACCTTCACGAACCATGAAACCTTCTACATAGCTCACACACACACAACAAAAACCTGTTCAGAAAGGGAATCAGGGACTTCCCTGATGGCGCAGTGGTTAAGAATCCACCTGCCAGTGCAGGGGACACGGGTTCAAGTCCTGGTCCGGGAAGATCCCACATGCCACGGAACAACTAAGCCCGTGCACCACAACTACTGAGCCCGCGCGCCACAACTACTGAAGCCTGTGCGCCTAGAGCCCGTGCTCCACAACAAGAGAAGCCACTGCAATGAGAAGCCCGTGCACATCGGCGAAGAGTAGCCCTCACTCGCTGCAGCTAGAGAAAGCCCGAGCGCAACAACGAAGACCTAACACAGCCAAAAATAAATAAATAATAAAATAAATAATTTTTTAAAAAAAGTAATCCAATGGATAGAATTTTATTTTTGATTCTTTTTTTTTTTGATGCATTATTGATGTACAACACATGTTAGTTCCAGGTGTACAACATAGTGATTTGATATTTCTACACATCTCAAAATGATCATCACCAATGAGTAGAATTTTAAACGGACCTTTCTTTACTTGCCCCAGTAGTACCTCCAATCCACATGTTCACAGTAAACATTCAGGTATCTGCAAACTTCTCACCCCCTTCCTGAAACCAAAAAGTGGCAAATTATATTAGGCTTCATTTCCCCATTATCCAGTGAAGATTGGAGATTGTCTTCTACCAGACTGGAAAGATAACTTTCCTTTCTGCACAGAGGCAGCTTCCTGAATGTACTCCTGCAGGGAGGCCATTCTTTCTGATTCTTTAGGCTCCATCTGTTCAGAGATAATTTGTCTTCTCTATGTCCTTAGCAAGAATGATTGGGGTTGGGAGTTGGGAGTCCTCTGAGTGTCCCGGATACCAGTTAGCATCTAACTTCCCTCCATGGTGGACTTCCCTGGCGGTCAAGTGGTTAAGACTCTGTGCTTCCACTGCAGGGGGCACAGGTTCGATCCCTGGTGGGTGAACTAAGATCCCTGCATGCTGCTCGGCGCCACCAAAAAAAAAAAAAAAAAAAAAAAATTTCCCTCCAGGCTTTTACCAGCTGGTGCCTATCTTATTCTTTTCCACCTTGTCATTTGTCTTCCCTGCACTTAACAAAGTTCTGTATCTGACACCATCATCATCTACATGGAGCATACCACCAAGAGGATCTAGAATAGTGGAGAAGAGTATCAGATCTAGAGCCAGGCTACCTGGAGTTGAATTCCAACTTCAGTACTCACAAGCTGTGAGAACTTGGGCAATTTACTTAGCTATTCTGTAATAGTACATGCCTCGTTAGATTGTTGTTGTGAGGATTAAGTGAGTAAATAACACCTCGCACATGGTTTAGGCATTCTTTTTTTTTTTTTTTTTTTTTTTGCGGTACAGGGGCCTCTCACTGTTGTGGCCTCTCCCGTTGCGGAGCACAGGCTCCGGACGCGCAGGCTCAGCGGCCATGGCTCACGGGCCCAGCCACTCCGCGGCATGTGGGATCTTCCCGGACCGGGGCACAAACCCGTGTCCCCTGCATCGACAGGCGGACCCTCAACCACTGCGCCACCAGGGAAGCCCGGTTTACGCATCCTTAGTTACAGTTATTGAGATAGTCTACTATAGTGGTTAAGGATCCAGGCTCCAGAGCCAAATGACCTGGATTCAAATCCTAGCTCTTTGACTTACTAGTTGCATGACTTTGGACTAGTTACTCTGTGCCTCAGTTCCAACAGAGAAAATGAGGACAATATTTTTCATGAGATGGTTGTAAGAAATAAATGGCTAATAAATATAAAGTACTTAAATGGTTCCTTGATCCCTGATGTACAGTAATACTCAGTAAAATATTATCTATAGCCATTATTATCAACTCATGTCTCCTCAAAGTCATATCACATTCTCGTGTTATCTTAGATTTGATCCCATCTTGTCTATTTAAACCTTCTTGGATTGTCCTGGAGCTACTCCAAGATCTTTTAGACGGAATTTATGGTGGCAAAGTCCCTCTCTGGAAGATGCGCTGAGGATGTCCCTAAAGGGCAGTACACAATGGCAAATGCTAATTACTCTTAGCCTCACAAGAGGGAGATTTCTTGTCATCGGAAGTGGCCAGGGCTTCCCTGGTGGCGCAGTGGTTGAGAGTCCGCCTGCCGATGCAGGGGACGCGGGTTCGTGCCCTGGTCCGGGAGGATCCCACATGCCATGGAGCGGCTGGGTCCATGGGCCGTGGCCGCTGGGCCTGCGCGTCCGGATCCTGTGCTCCACAGTGGGAGAGGCCACGGCAGTGAGAGGCCCACATACTGCAAAATAAATAAATAAATAAAAGGAAGTGGCCAACTGTTGAATGCACCACCACGTGACATATCTAGACAAGAGTTAGATGAAATATCTGTGTTGGACTAGGTATGTTGTGGATAAGATTCCCAAACTCCATGGAAAAGTGAGCTATGTTAGATCTAAGATTTTTTCTGACTTTAAGTTTCTATGATTTATGAAAAGTAAGATATTTCCAATGAAAGGATTTGACAAAATTTGTATGCCTCTTTCAACAAAGTTCCATAAAGGAACAAATGGAGTACAGAAAGGGGAAAGTTCAGCAGTATCTCTTTGTATTATCATTTTAATCTCTTAACCTTGCATCTTCTCTCTTGAGGCTTCAGTGGTAGATACTTATGTTCCAGTTTAGGCATGAATCATACTTTATATCATGGATATATAACATAACACGAACCTTAACCTCTGCCATAGAGGACAGTACTGAGAACATCACTTGGCTGGGAGTCAAGATGAGTTTGAGCTACATTATGGATGTGAAAATGCCAAGTCAGACCAATTTGAATGAGTAATAGTTCAGTGATATGAGATCTGAGTGACACCCAGGAGACAAGGTCCAAGATACTATTAACAGTGATGTGGCTATTCCTGAGCAAAGGTTTCCTGAAGTCTAAGAGGGTAAGATACAAACCAGAACAAGGTCCCTAGATGTAAAATCCATGTTTCATGGAGACAGGTAAATTTTAGCAACATTGTTTTCAGTTGGCACCACTATTACCATGTCTGTTCACCTGAGTGGCCAAGGCAAT